CTTAGCTCAGAATCACAAAGAGAAGCTCCGTGAAGGAGCTTCAGGCGGTGACCAATGCCTGATGGATCCCAGGTAAATTATTAAAAAGTTTACCAATGGTTTGGATACTTACACTGGGAGGGCGCCTGGACACTTATAGCACCAGTACCATACTGCATTTTGTAGTGGCTATGGTGCTTGAAATGTGTGACAAACACTCCTTCTCACAAACTTCTACCAAGGACTTCTGAAGGAGTGTGGAAACCGGCCTCCTGCCTACCGATTATGGTCTAGACCACCATTTGGCAGTACCTTGCCCAGCCACCATAAGTAGCTTTCCCTAGGTGCCCCTGGTTCGGCACTTTCCCTTCATGCGAATGGAACTAGCCAGCTCTCTGGCGGCCGTTCGCATGAACCAAGTCCACGCATAGTCCTCAGCTGTACTTAGCCGCGACCGCTATAGAACTAATTTCAGCATGACGACTTTGTGGGTTCTCGGTTACCTCAGCAGGACTTAGACGTAAATGTCATGGAACGGTTTTTAGCATGAGGTGACTGTTTGGTTCCAAGACAACTTGGTCTGGGGTTTTGAATCACTTTTTGGAGGCAAGGTGCCTGAGATTAAGGGGAACAAATGCTTCCTGAGAGCCAGGCAGAGAACCCTGTACTGAGACTGCAGGAGCTCCTGATAGTTCACCGACAAAGCACCAAACGCCTTGGAACTATTTTGAGCATACGGCCACGTGTGCAGACAGTCAGAACTTTAACACAATGGCGTTTCCCCTACACTGCATGGATCTGAGTGCTATTTGGAGAACTTGGGCGTACAGATCAGGGCTATTTATTGATGCATAATATGTGGGGTTATTTTATGTTATGTTTTCGGGTACTTTTATATTTTGTGTTGGACTCTGTTCCTGGGAGATGATTAGCTTACCGGTCTTTGACGCAATTATCTCCCAGGCCCAGAGATTCCTGGGAGGAGCTTGTGTTGAATACAATGAAAACCCCCTGCTGGGGTCTGTGCATAAAAGGCAGAGTTCAACTCCTTAAAATCAGTTGTACTCCCAGAACTGTGTGTCTAGTTACTGGGAGGGGAAATGGCTCATCACCTTGTTCCAGCTTGTGGAGGATTCAGCTAGGAAAGTCCTTGTGACTAGAGCTCCCAGGACTGTGTGTTGTCCAGTCCCTGGGAGAGAATAGAGCTAGTCCCCTATCCTGTTCCAGGGCAGAGAGGCTCCAGGAGGACCCCAGCCAAGCAGTGGCGAGCAGCCCAGCCAGGGTACAGGGAGCTCTGCTCCTTCAATGAATAGTGAAAGTCAGCAGTGACCAGATAAGGAAGCAAGAACCAAGACATAACCAGGCACTGATTTTAAAGCAATCAGGGAAAAGACAATGATAATACACAATGACAGAAACAATTAGTGGTAATTAGTGATGTCCCAAACGGTTCGCCGTGGACTCATCATTGAGTAAACTTTGACCCTGTACTTCACAGTCAGCAGACACATTCCAGCCAATCAGCAGCAGACCCTCCCTCCCAGCTCCTGGACAGCATCCATTTTACATTCATTGTGAAGCTGCATTCTTAGTGAGCTGTCCAGGAGGAGGGAGGGTCTGCTGCTGATTGGCTGGAATGTGTCTGCTGACTGAAGTACAGGGTCAAAGTTTACTCAATGATGAGTCCGCGGCGAACCATTCGGGACATCACTAGTGGTAATGTCTTGGATATACTAAAGGAAAGAGGTGAGGATAAAGACATGACTGATCACTGGGTGTGATGCTGCCAGGGGAGAGGACATAGGATTACATTAGGAAGCCCTAAGCACGATGATAGTGCTATAAAGCTTAATGAGGGACCAGCATGCTTTATGGCATGTACATGCACAACCATTTGGTCATACCAAAGAGCTCTGTGAATTCAAGCTTAGTACTGTGATGGGAAACCACCTTTGCATTATGTCCATTCCTGAAATTCCATCCCTGCTAGATCTTCCACAGTCAACTGTAAGCGTTTAGGATCAAGTGCTGTAAAGCACGCTTCCATTGAACTCGAGCAGTGGAAAGTTGTTCTGTGGAGTGACAAATCACACCTCTGTTGGGCAGTCTGGGTTTGGTGGATGCTAGGAGAATGTTAACTGCCTGCATTATGCCAATGTAAAGTTCGGAAGAGAGAATGCTATGGGGCTGTTTTTCAGGGGTTAGGTTTGGCCCCTTACTTCTAATAAAAGGAAATCTTATCTTAATGAAGTGGTCTGGGTGCCAGGTCCCTCTAGGATTAACCCCCCTTTTTTTTTTTTATAAACATAGCAGTTTCAGAGAAACTGCTATGTTTATAAATGGGTTAATCCAGCCTCCAAATCCTCTAGTGCAGGGGTTCTCAACGCTAGTCCTCAGGACCCCCTACCAGTCAAGGGTTTAGGGATTACCTGGGTGTGTCTAAGGTGTTTAGAAAAAGAAGAAAAAAAACACCTTAGAGTCTAAGGTGTTTTTTTTCTTCTTTTTCTAAACACCTTAGACACAACCAGGTAATCCCCAAATCCTGGACTGGTAGGGGGTCCCAAGGACTGGGTTGAGAACCCCTGCTCTAATGGCTGTCTCATTGACAGCCGCTAGAGGCGCTTGCGTGCTTCTCACTGTGAAAGTCACAGTGAGAAGACGCCAGCGTCCATAGGAAAGCATTGTGAATCCTGCCGCGAATGCGCATTCAGCCGAAGAGGAGGATCAGAGGCAGAGAGGAGGAGAGCTCCCCGCCCGGCGTTGGAATAAAGGTAAGTTTAACCCCTTTCTTCACCATCCTGCCTGGCGGGAGGGGGTCCCTGAGGGTGGGAGCACCCTCAGGGCACTATAGTGGTCCTTTAATGCTTCAGCATGCCAAGGCATTTTGGACAATACTATGCTTCCAACTATGTGGGAAAGGCCCTCTTTTCCAGCATGACTGTGCCCCAGTGCATAGTTGGATGAGTTTGGTGTGAAAGAACTTGATTGGCCCGCACGGAGCCCTGACCTCAACACCATCGAACACCTTTGGCATAAAGATTGTAAGCCAGGCCTTCTCATCCAACATCAATGCCTGATCTCACTAATGCTCTACTTAATGAATGGGAAATATTCTCATATACTCCAAAATCTTGTGAAAAGCCTCCAAGAAGAGTGGAAGCTGTTAGAGCTGCAAAGCTACATAATGATGTATATATCTCTTTACAACACAATATCAAAAGTCCTTGTCGGTGTAATGGTCAGGTGTCCCAATACTTTTGTCCATATAATGTACATCCAACAAATTATTTGCTAGAACAGGGGTATGCAACCTTTAGCACTCCAGATGTTGTGTACTACATCTGCCTTGATGCTTGTCAGCATTATGGCAGTAAAAGCAATATGGGAGATGTGGTTCACAATATCAGAAGGAAGTCTACCCCTGTACTAGAGTATACTTATACAAGGATATGTGACGACACAATGAGGATCCCTATAACATATTGCAAGTAGCCCAGGAGGAGTACTCATTCAGTAACTATACACCTAATATACATTAATCCAAGAGATGCCTATGATGACAGCCCTAGATGACTACCAGCTGGTTTTAATGGGATGATTTGCGATTATGCTTGTTTTGCCTTTTAACAATTAAAATTCTAAAAAACTTCCAATAAAAAAAAAACCAAAAAAAAAACCTAATAAATAATGTATATTCGGTGATGCCCTTCTAAAAAGGAAATATTTAAGCCAAAATTTTTTTTTTCCTTTTTAAAGTGTGGCACTCACAAAATGTAAATTCCGAACACATATGAAGTGTTGAATGTGAGTAGTGTAGAGAGCAGTATGACATTAGTACATGTGGCGGTATGAGAGCGATAGCATGCGGTATGTACAGCCTGGCAGTATGAGTGCAGCACTGAACACATGGGCAGAGCTGGGTGTAGTGAATGGAGGGCATGGCGGAGAGGGGGTACAGGAATGGCTCGGACACACGGTATGCCGGGAGGGGAGCCGGGCTCGGACACACGGTATGCCGGGAGGGGAGCCGGGCTCGGACACACGGTATGCCGGGAGGGGAGCTGGGGGCAGGGAGACATGCCGGGTGGGGTGTGCAGGGCAGGTGCCGGTCACGGTGTCCCGGAAGCCGTGTACGATGTCACGCTGCTCCCCGTTAACTCACCCCAGCTGTCGGGCTCCGCCATTTTTCTTCCCGCTGCCGCTCCGGCTCTCACTGACTCACCGCGTCCAGCTGCGCGCGCAGCGCCCCGAGGAATGCTGGGACACCCACCGGAAGTACGTCACAGATCCCAGCCCGGGTCGCCGGGGCACGCAGCTCCTCCCCTGCCCGCCTCGCGGTGTACGTTATTCCTTGCTGCTGCCTCCTCTCTCTCTCACACACTTCTTACAACGCTAAAATAGCGCTACGAAAGAAGCGGCCCCGTTAACAAAGCTCACCGGCCGCCATGTTACGGTTGGCAAACACCCCGCATAGCGTCCTCCGGGCTGCCAAGTGCAACACGTGCATGTCCGCCTGGTCGGAGCACGTGGTGTGATTGGGCGCAGCTGATTGGCCAGTGGAGTGGGGCAGTGTGCCTGGCTGCTCTGCGTTCCCTTTTATTCTAGTCACATTCATGGTTTTGTTCTGTTTGGGTTTCTAGGCGTTACTGGGTGTCCGCCGCCTGTATTTTATCATCACAATTCACTTGTAGAGATCATCAAAATTCATCTCAATTCTATTTAAAAAAAATAAAGTGGAAAGTTTAAAAATGTTTTAAAAAGTACATCACTTTTCTCCAACACACAAAGCCCTGCTTGTGTTAGAGGCCCCTCCAGGTAGTGTTACTGTAGAGTTATTTTATTTTTTAAGTAGATGAATTATAAGGAGACTGTTGTAAGTAGAGTATTACTATGTTTTAAATCAGAAGTCACTTTTTTTGATTGGGAGTCAAAGTACATGTTATTAGCTTGGTGATGATCCATTTTCTATCATTTATACTAAATCAAATATATTTTTAAGGCCCTGGCTAAGCTGTTAAAGGTGCACGTTAAGCACCACATTCTCTACAGTGCACTCTAGTAGTTATGATGGGCTGACATTTACATTTTTATTTGGATTTTTAAAATTAACAAGGAAAATAGCATACTTTGTGCACATTTACAATGTCTCATAACAATAGGTTGCTGTGTTTGGTAATGACAGATTTCTTATTTACAGATATGTCGCATGAGGTGTTGACTAGAGACACCAAAACAACTTCAACTAAAGGAAGCATTTTGGTTCTGTTTATGCAGCTATATCCACACCTTCCCTGGCTCTGACTGACACAGCCTGCATGAAAACAAAATGGTTTCATTTTCAATCAGATGTCACTTAGTTTAAACGTTTTTATCTCCTCCACATCAAATGGAACTTTAATTACATACTGGAGGCTCCTGCAGTGTCTGTCACGCTATTGACAGAGCAGGAGATAAGAAATTCTATATTAAACAGAATTTGCAGTAAAGGAAGTCTAACCATAAGATGACTGTTTACAGGAAGTGTTTAGGAAAGCTGTGTAAGTCATATGCAGGGAGGTGTGACTATGGCTGTATAAACAAAGTGATTTAACTCCTAAATGGCAGAGAATTGATCAGTGAGACTGCAGCAGTGGCATGGCCTATACACCAAAACAGTTTAATTAAGCCAATGTTGTTTTGGTGACTATAATGTCCCTTTAAAAAGGTTTAGGAAACATGGGGTGAGGTCAGAATAAATAGAACAATGGTGAAGAAAGGGAAATAGTAAGGTGGGCAAGATGAAGAGAACGTTTCACTAATGATTCTTATTCATGTATTACATCCCACTTGGGCAATATTAGGCAGGGTTCGATTGATCCTGCAGGACATCGTCTCATGCAGTCTCACTGTGTTAGTGTAGGCCAAAACGGATTTGCAAGACTGAGGTACTTTGTCTTTACGGGATTTGGCTGTAGTATTTTTGCTGCAATCAAGACGTGAATCAGCATTCTTTTTGCCGAGTTGTGTGTGTAAATACTTCCAGCAAGTTGTGTTCACAGTGTATTTTAGAATGTCTAGCATCTCTGTCCAGAAGGAGTGAGCCCTTACATTGCCAGCAAGTAGGTAGATAATAGACTAGGCAAAATATGAGAAAGCATCTTGATTTCCCACCGGTTGAGGCATTTAAATATCCATTATATAGGGATGTTAATTACCTACAGGCAAGGATCAATCCTTAAGCTTCAGTGTTTAATGTAAGCTATACATCCTGTTTTACTGAAATGTTATGGCAAAAGTGCTCTTGATCTGTATTGGAATGGTGAGCTTGTAATTGTGCCGTGTCGGTAATTAGCAAAACTATAGATTGTATTTTACCCCAGTATGTGTTACTCAACCCGGGAAAACAAAGTTTCCTGCTTGCTAAAATCCCATTTAGTATAAGGAGGAACATGTAAAGCAAACAAATGTATTTTATTTTTTAAATAAACCTTTATTGAAAACTTTAAATATTACAAAATATGTTATCAGGACATTATGCAGTGTACAAATCTGCAATGTACAATGAAACACACACAAAAATACCAATCTATCAATATTTAAGATGTACAGAATTCCCAAGCTTCAAAAGAAGGCACAGTGATAGTTTATTGTACAAAGTAATAATTTACGTTATATCAAAAAAATAAATATTCTAAACCGCACAACCCAATGTATCAAGTGAGCAATAGGTGCTGGAACCAAGCTACACCGCTCAACTAGAATTTGCAAACAATGTACAAATAGAATCCGCACTCAGTATTGAGAATCTTAAGTGCGGATTCTATTTGTACAGATTTAATAATGTGTTAAACAACATAGGCTATAGTGTGTATATATATATATATATTATATACATAAACACACACATATATATATATATATATCCATAGATACCAATACATACAAAACAACCAGAGTATAATATCAACGCAAAATAAGTCCAAAAAGGTCAAATTGTAACCCCATATCAATGAAATATGTCCCAGGGTATCAATATGAGGAAAGTACAAAATATTTGGATTTTATCAGGAAAGTGAGTGAAGGAACAAATAATCTGAAATGTACAGCATAGAGATATTTTGGTATTTATTCATTAAACAGAGAATTATAGTAAATTAAAACCAAAATTGCAAAATTTAGGCTAGCCTAAAATAGTCGATTTGGAAATAGTCTCCCATTTATCTATAGCTGGCTTTTTTAGCCTGAAAGGTTGTAATTTGGATTACAGTTCATCCTAATTTACTGTTTGGTGAATAACCTCATTGGTCTTTTTAGAAATAGGTTCTGCCTGGTGATTTGCTGTATGTCACCTTCACAACTTTTGCCTATAGGGGTTTTTCTGCAGATTTATAGTATACATTAATGGAATTACACATTGATTTTATATACATATCATGAGAGTGCTTATTACCTACTTCCATGAAGGTGACACAATACAATCAGCTTTGGTTTTGGTTTTTAGTGCATACTGGATATATTCATAGAGAAAACCAGAAGAGTTATTCTATGGAATATAACAGTTTTCAATTTATTGAAGTTGTTATGGTGCAATGACCCAGTCTGTTCAATATCTCACGTTAAACATTGTTAGATCTTTGACATTTATGTCAGGATGTAACACTATTTTAAACTTTTGTTAATCAGCACCAGGAAATTGTGTTTCTAGGTTGGCTATATCGTTGTTGTTTTTTGTGCAGAACTTTATGAGATAAGAATTTTTTCCAGGTGTGGAGTGGTCAGCCCGCATTTTACAGAAACATTTTACAGGTATGTTTTTTTGTTTTCATTTTTAATTATTCATTTTTTTACATTTTATTTTTTAATGCATTGATCTTATAATACATAAGTATAATATACATATTTACCCCCATAGTTTCCCTTTATATGAATATTCCAAACACCACAATTACTGTAGCCATCTATAGTGTGTACGATGTCAGGAGTGCCCTGGGGCCATTCCAGCATAATCTGCAGTGTATGATTCTTACTGGGGTCTGCCAGGCTGCTTCATGTCTTAAGTAGGAGAGGTCAGATGTCAACGAAGGCATTTGGTTATTGGCTAAACTCTCTCAGTCAACTAATGAGTCCAATAGGTTCTTGCATAGAATAAATAGAACATCCAGTACCTCCAGCTCTGAGAGGACCGACCCCAGAACCCAGATAAGTATCAAACTGTGCTAAAATTGTTTGACATATGAAATTGAACCAGAGGACTTCAACACCATAACCACTGCAGGGAGCTGCAGTATTATGTTGCTTGGATTGTTCCTTTAAATAATATTCAATACCTGGAATTAATCCCCAGCTCACATGTGGCTAAGCAAAATACTTTGCTCTGGTGGTCAGCACATTAAAATGTTTCTACGTTGTTTGGCATATTCGTAACATGTTTCAGCAAGTAGATTACAGCTTTAATTTTTTTTTCACCCCTATTCTTTTTGGAGAGGAAACATCAGAGGCATCTGACCCTTTGTGGAAATTGTGAAGAGTACCTTTCTAGGTCAGCTACTTTCTGAAGATGTCAGAACTTAGTTTCACACAACATGGTCCCAAGTGCAAAGGGACCTCTGCCAGATTAGGCAACAAGAAAGGAATACAGATTTATTATAAACTTTGAAAATTTGATAATTGATCATTTGGATGGAAACATACTGCGGTCCTCAGACAAGGAATATTGCACAAAGAACTGACCATGAAATACAGAGCACAAGAGCTGTGGGTGGGCAGTCCTGGCCAGCTTGGGAGTTCCCTGCTTTAAATAAAAAAAATTTAAAAAAAAGACAAATCAGGTTTGTGATAATATTTATTAATTCATGATTTCAGCGCATATACTACAAGCAGCTTCAGTAGATCCATCACAACTACTGAATACCCACGTGCCAACAATAATATTCAGTATATCACAGGGTTCTGTGTTGTCTTATAATTATCAAAAAATATATAAAAATTGGACAAGGCACACTGATCTGAAGTTCTGTGGTTACCAAGACTATTCCCCACTAATATGCTAAGGGTAGTAGTCACCTTGCGCTCTATTAATAAAGAAAATAATCTTCATTTATATTATTATGCAAATAAATGGCACCTCATATTTACACTATTCGGATGCTCACAAGTATATATCTATATTATGCATGTCTGAAAATATCACTAGTTACCTCTGCCATCTGGTGTTCCACTTTCGTCGCCTGTGAGAATCACTGTGAGAGCTTTCTGTTGTTCTTTATCTAGGAGCTTCTTCTGCTGCTCCGTCACTCCAAAAGCCTGAGACCAGGAGAACATGCGTAGCTGCATTGCTGAAAACGAGACCTGCAGGGTGTACAGATAGGAGATAAACGTGTGGTATGCTAATCCCACCATCCTTATGAATTATATAATTTCCCACAATCTTACTGCACTTACTGCAAATTTCATTGGTGGCATAAGCGAGACAGCTAGAGGGGAGAGTCCTCGAATCTGCTCTTGGACCAGTGAAGACAGCTCTATATCCTGTAGTCCAGCTGTGAAATAATAAATAGAGAGACTGCAAATAGGTGGTAGGACAGGGTTAAGCATCCTTTTGCATCTCCGATATTGTGGACTACATCTCACATAATGCTCTTACAGCCATACGGCTGGCAAAGGATCAGGGGAGATGTAGTCCCCAACATGTGGCGTGCCAAAGGTTGCTGATCCCTGTGGTCCCCCAGCTTCATGCTTCAAATACATCCCCATCTTTGTGCTTTAAGTATATCCCTGCACTTTTTCCCTTGCAGTCTCTGCTAAGCCTCCCCTGGCTCTGAATCCCTCACTCACTCACTCTGTACCCTGCTGACATCAGTCTCATATAGGGAGGAACTAAAAGCACTGCTCCCCAGCCAGTTAGAACTCTGTCTGATACTCTGCATGTAGAAATAACTGTTTAGTTACCTCAAATGTCTTACCTTTTGCAGTACAGTTCTTACTGACTACTTTTCCCATGAGACTCAGCCAACCATTCAGCTGGCTAAGTGTCTTGAGAAATATAATGTACTAGAACTGGAGTGTTACTGGAATGGCATAAGAGTCAAAAAGCATAAAATTACTTTTTTTTTTTTTTAAATGGCCACTGGGCAACACTGTAAGTAATAGCCTTAATATATTATATATATTATTGATGGTATATGCGTATTAGCACATTAAAGAGATAGTACAGGCACAAAACCAGCTGTGGCCTACTAAATCAGTTTTATTGTATAGATAGATCATGCCCCTGCAGTCTCACTGCTCAATTCCCTGTTGTTTAGGAGTTAAATCACTTTGTTTATTCAGCCCTTGCACAGCCTTCCTAAGCAATTCATGTAAAGAGAGCTCTAATGTTTAAACTTCCTTCATTGCCCATTCTGTTTCATTTTTTCATTTAGAATGTTGTATCTCTAGCTCTGTTAATAGCCTTCTAGACCCTGCTGTGTGATTAAAGGTAAATTAACAGAGCAGGAGATACAAAATTCTATAGTAAGCATGATCTGAAACCCTAACAGATTAGGGTCAATGTTTACAGAGAGGGGTGGGATCAAATTACAGGGGTGGAGCCAAGAGCCCCACGATCTGAAAACTTCACCAGCCATCACTGGTTTCCATTTTGATTGCTCCAAATTTACCACTCTAGTAGTTCTGATGCCACGTTCCTCAGTGATTGGTAAACAGTTTGCCCCCTTACCTGGGTCCCTGCTGGGCACAGCCGCAGAAACCGGAAGCCACAGCCGTCCCCATTAATTAGTTGGGAGCATCAGCTGCCTGCCCTCAGCCAATGAATGACATTCTGCGCAGTGATATATACTCAGAATTGACATTAGCCAACTGGAACTCTAGTTCCAGACTGGCTGATGACACCCTAATGACACTGCCGGAGGTGGAGTTTCAACTCTGTATGTGCAGTTTTTCATAGTGAAATGCTGCGCATATAGACTCCAGGCACCATAACCACTTCAAATTGCTGTAGTATTCATGGTGCTTGGAGTAATTCCTTCATTACATGGGAGATGGCTACAGAAAGAGAAAATAATGAGGAAATGAGAAATAATCCAAACAGATCAACAAATTAAAAAGCAAATAAAGGTAAGTTCATCCGAAGGTCAAAGTTAATATGCATAGGTTCTTATAGTGATATTGATTTTAATTGTATCTATTCTCACCAGCTACAGATCCCACTTCCCGAAAAATATCTTCTGTCCATCCGCTGACTGGTCCAAATATCATATTCTGCGTGCAAAGCCGTGTGAGGGCATGGAACTGCTGCTCCATACAAGAAAGTGGGAGAGAGCCCAGATAAAGCACTGCAGAGCTGAAAGAAGTGGATTTTGTCATAATCTATAGCACAGTTGAGAGAGTGTTCCAATAAATAGTGTTCTCACCAAAACTCATAAGCTTGCAGTTGCTCCATATCTGTGCTACTTAACCCACACACAACATATCCAAGAATCACCAAGTGCAAAGCAGCTAGGTCTTGCACAGAGCGGGCACTTGACGTCAGAAAGCCACCGACCAAAACCTGCAACTACAGAGCACAAAAGACAACGCAAGTGTGCAACCTGTATTAAGCTGGGGTCAGTTGCCCTTATAGATATACAATAACATTGTACAAAGTATAGAAAAAAAAGGAGCCACACGAATCTAAATATATAAATACATGTTTTCTGTGCTTTTTACCTGTCTTGTGGTCCACTCTTTCTCTCTTCCTAGAGCCTCCATTACTTGCATGTCTGCCAGAGGTATCTGCTGAAGCTGGTTTTCACTGAGTTTGGATGCTAAACGTCCGAGGCGTGCAAATTGTTGTGATTGTATACCAGACAATGGACCGCTTATCTAAGAGAAAGAAGATTTACCTACATCTCTGTCAACTTTCCTCACTCAACACTTCAGTTGCACCAACTTCCATACCTCTAAAAATCTGGATAACAGCAAGCCCAGTTCAGTAGAGTCAAAGTCCAGATTCTGACCAATATCTTCCAAACAGTCCATAAAATCTGCTGGCAACATCCTCACTAGAATATCTGCACCCCATGCAGAAGCAGGGCTACCACGCAGAGTCTGGCAGTCGGGAGCAGGCACTAAAAATTGAATGAAACTTGATTACTGCCATAGACAGTGCACCAGGTTGAAACAAAAAGGAATGGCACAGAGAGTGCTAAGACAGCAAAATGCTCGTAAAATGACCAGAGATATTTAGAAAAATAGTTAAGGTAGATATAGCATGTTCTGTAGAAGAAAAGGTTATGTGGATGTGTAGTGTTTTGTGGAAGGCAGGGCTTTGGAGCATTCTTGTATACCAGTGAAATAGATTTCCTTATTAAAATCATGGCATTATCATATTTGTTTTAATTAGTAAAATTAAGTTAGAGTAGGTATGGAAACACATTTCTATCTTCCTTATTAAACCGTGACAGTATTATGATAATGATTCTATGGTTTTAATTAGTAAAAAAAGTTACACTAAGTATGGAACCAGTCTATTTTGGAGCAGAACCTATAAGATAAACTTAGAGCCCTTTGAGAAAAACAGGTAACAAGAACAATCTACAGTCATCTTACCAGGCTGAGTTTCTACAGAACATGGATGCAGCATGTTTTGTAGAAGCTAAGGTAAGATGGCTGTAGCTTGTTGAGAACAGGTAAGACAGATTTAGAGCATTCTTGAGAAGAACTGGTAAGGTATATGTAACATGTTCTGGGGAAGAATGACAATATACATTTAGACTGATCTTGAAAAGAACAGATATGATAGGCAATTCGTCATATGAAGAGACAGGTCAGATAATAAAGTGTGTTTAAGAGAAGACGTGTGCAAGATAGAAGAAACAAGTCAAGCTCAGCAGATGTAATTTATTACTGAAGGGAATAGACAAGTATGGCTTGTTCCTGAAAACAGATATAGACCTCAATTTAATATTTTCAAATTATTTAATATTTTTGGTTAAACATTTAACATGATTGTTTTTTTTTGTCACAATACTTACCCAAGGGACGCCACCGATTCGGGGGTCATCGCAGGTTCTGTGCTACGAATTACCTGTTCGGTCACAAGACCTGCTTACGCATAGCGATTTGGATGCTGCCTGCACAAATGTGCACTGTTAAGTGCTGAACTTTCGAAGAACGTAATTTCTGGTTCAGAACTATTCGCATCACCCAGGTGAACTCGTTTCTGCACTTTTTGGAGTCGCAGGGGTGATGTGGACAAATCAGAGCCTGTGTAATCCTATTTAATCTTTTGACCCTAGTTAAGTACCCCTTTATAGTTTCTGCCTTAGTACCCGATTTGTGCGTTTAGTCATTTGTGTATTTCTGGATTCGGACCTCGGCTAGTTTATAGGAATTTTGCAAACCTCTGATATTCTGACCTGGCTTGTTTAATCGATTTTCTGTCCATTTGTATTCCTGACCTTGGCTAGTTTATTGATAAAATCACACAATTGGGTCAGAGCTTAATAACAGAAAATAATAAACAACAAGGCAGCAACCCTAAGAAGGGGATCCTTCTCAACCCTTCAAAATAATGCAAGGAAAAACAAAAGAGACAGAAAGACTGCACCACATAAAAATGAACAGGTAGTACTATCTGTGGCTATTTTGTATTCTCTTTCTGAGTACCCGGACACCCATCTGCTGTGAACGACCCTCACCATATCCCATAAGTGGGGATTGTACCATTGTATGCGATATACACTAGAGCTGGTCATAGCTCTGTTACATGTGAGTGCAACATCATTATTATTCACATACTGTCACAATAAGCTTTGACATATATATCCGGTTGCCTTGTCTTTTTCTATCCACATAGCTGCATCTACCTCCTGATAAAAAACATCTTTATATGTGACAATTTGTATTGTTGGGACGAGACTATTTAGTATTACCTGTTCAATTTTATGTGGCACTGCCCTTGTCTCTCTTTTATTTTTCTTGGCTAGTTTATTGACTTCTCTCTTTGTTTTTCGAAGTTAAACCCAGTCACTCTAAGATCCGGTTGTCACAGCTACTGGATATTAGATGTAATCTTCCCAATAACAGAGCCTGAACCACTGTTTTTGTACTATAAACATTCTGATTTATTTCAATATTATCAGTCAGCTGACAACCAGAGAGACACAGCATAGAGAGAACAAGAGTTGGGACAGTTAGAACCCTGGCACCTGCACATGCCCTGCTCATGCAAGTACCCAGCACACCTGTCAAAGAACACAAGTCGCTCTCTCTCTCTGAGACAATACTTAACACAATAATAACAATAAAGGTTTAACATAACAATACAACCATAACAATAAGTGGAGTCTGAGTTGTCGCACTGGTAATATGTCTATCTCTGTTTCTCCTATTGGGCTTCCCATTCACTGCGCATTGGGGTATAATACGTGACAATTTTAAACGTTTTCTATGATTTTAAAAATGTATCCAAGTATACAAAATCACTTGAAAAGCGTCTCCAAAAATATTAAATTAAGGTCATAGTTAGGTATAGACTCTGCACTCTATGCCTTACATGTAGCTCTCTGCAGGAACTGTGCTTGAAGAGAAAGGCGCAGCAGAGTGCGTTGACTCATGGTATGTGCTGTACTCTGATTAGATGTCTTGCTCTGAATGCATGCTGCACCGAAGGGAGACTTTTTCCACTTAATATCTGCAAACAACATCTGCAGAACCCACTGGTCTGATAGAGCAGCCTAGGGAAGAAATAAAAACATATCTAAAAAGAGGCCAATGTATAGCTGTTCCTATGCCGCCACCAATTTTACATTGTGCCTACACAAACCTACCTTATTGAGAGATTGTAGAGAGCGGTCTGAAAACAGGAGAACCAACCTGTCTATGCGCTGCAGAGCCTGGGACTGCCATTGGGGTGGTGTCCTAGAAATTGATTAAGTCGTGATAAGTTGCAAACTCAAAGCAGACTGTGCAAGGAGACCCTTGGAAATGACTGGTCAACAGAGACCCTTTAGTTTGCCTAGTAACCTAGTGATGCTAAACACACATTGACTTCAATCTGCTACTTAATTGTAGATACTTTCGAAATAAAACGTGCATTTCATTTTCTTCTAGATATTTAGTCAGAGGAAATCATATATGTTTTTAAAATTCTGATTGTAATACCTTGAAGCCCCCTCGAAGAATGAACAAGGAGCGCATTCAAGATATGCTAGATAGATAAATAAAAGGATGGTTATTTTTCACGTAAAAATACTAAAAACTTTTTATTTCTAATAAGAATTGTTTACGGGAAGAACAGAATTGATTAACCTTGTAAAACCTTTTTTGGTGTAAAGCTAGGACTGTAGTCTGCGTGCCTTTTCGGGGCATTCTTAAAAAATATACTCAAATGCCATCTTTAGCTCTCTTTTTTTTGTCTTACCCAAACATGTGTGGCTCCTGGAGTAGCTGTGTTAGCAGTGGCTGTGTTTCTGGAGGGTAGCAATAATTTGTTATGCTTTCCGTATTTTGTGTCAGAATCCCACGGTACACAGATAGGTAGGTGGAACCATTGATAAATGGAGTTAGGCATCCAAGGACCACAAAAAGCTCTTGAGGGGTGTAGATCCCAGCCATATTCTAGAAGTAAGAATGAGAATAAGTCTCCTGTTTCTCAGATTTAGAGTATCAATGAATCACACAGTATGATAAGAAAATAAATATAAAACAATAGCATTTAGCATTTAGATTAGCCAGTATAATGAGACCTCTCACCAGACAACTGATCAGACTGTCCATCAGGGCTTGTCGCCAAAGTACTGGTTGTTCAGTCACAAGTAGAATCTCCGACTTCAGACTCTGCACCAAATAGCTACAGCTTTGAGGTGAAAGGAGAGCAATTAAACTGTGCCTGAAAGCCAAAAATAATAGAAACAATAGAAATAAGTACAAGGACCAATTGTGGGAATAGTGGAGCAATCAGTAGGAACATTCAGACTGGTTTCTATGGTAATAGCTCCAGAACTTTAAATAACTCCCAGCGAATACAATCAGTAAGTTTGTAAAGGGCGTTATGAAAATTCCACCTTCAGTTTACAAGGCCAGTCTAACTAGTGTATGATTTATTGTTTCTATGGTCCTGCTGTGTCCATTTCCACAATAAAAATCTGTAACTGTGCATTATTTTACAATGTTTGCAAAGTGATAATATATATGAGGCTTGTGAAGGGATGTTACAAAAGACATCCAGAGGGATTTCCATATTGGTGCATTGGTGGACTAATGGGGTTGTCCACAGTCCAAGACCTCATTTGCAAAACACGTTAGAGCCCAGTGGAGTTATAAAGCCCACCAATCAAAATGCAGGATGCACCAAGAAGCAGCAAATAAATATTACTGCCTTCCTGGATTCTCTCCATGTGCAGACCCTCTAGCCATTAGGCGGTTCCAATTCTAGATTTCCTGTTACTTGCCCATTCCCCTTCGCCTCTTTCTCATTCCCTGACACCAGTAACAGACTCTATTTCACCAACAGAAGCACTGTTATAGACTCACGGGATCTCTGCTTTGATCTGAGAACTCAAACTCTTCATCAGTTCAGGTGTAAGAGGCAAAGGGGCCAATTGATCAAGAGCACAGCGAACCTGTAATAGCAAAATAGGAAAACAACAACATGGAAAAAAATGACAACTAGCCACACTCCATAAAACACAGTAACAAATGTGTGATGTATGTTGTATGCATTAGACTTGCACATACAAAGAACATTTCTTCTTCTAAATCTTTCATTACTAATTTTTTTCCCCATTGTCAAACGTAAAGTGAACCTCTCATGATATAGTTTTTCCATTTTCTAATCATCCGGTTTGACTCATGGCATACAAATAAGTGTTTTTTTCCCTTAATAGTATGAAACGATCATGGTTTCATTTATTTCCATTCCCTGCTGAAAGCTTCAGCCATGTTTTCAGTGGGTGTTACATATGTTGTAAGACACACCTCTCCTCCATACACCTGTTTGGGAAGCACAGACACAATTCCAGGTTAAACGTCCCAAACACCTTGGCTCAGTGTAAATATAACTTATTTGTTCTCTCTAACCATGAGGTTTGAATGTTGCATTCCTAATGATACATAATATAAATAAACACAAAACAACTTCTTTTATCCAACTTGTTTATTCAATATTTTTATATTATATTTTATATTTATTAATATACTGCAATAAATCCTTCTGGGTAATTCTCAATTGCAAGTGCAGCTACCACCCAGCGCCTGGCCCTCCTCCCTATTTCCCCTTACAGGCAATGCTTTTCCGTTAGGCAGAATTCAAGCAGGAAAGATGCACAGAGGAGAGTTTTCCTGACATGCAGAGCACAGTCTTCTAATCTCTGTGCCAATCGGCACAGACTGACCTGACAGAAGGGGGAAAAGCAGTGTTTCATGTGTGATTTAAAAAAAAAAAGTAAATATTTGCTTCTGCTAGCAGGATGTATACATGCCTTGTGATTCTCTATAATGTAAGATTAAGTTGTATTTGTCTAAATTACAGCAAGTGGGTAGTGGGAGAGGTAAATATAAAATACAGGGATCCAGAGAAAACCCTAAACCTAGAGAGGGAACCTGCCTAATAGCCACCTTCACCCCCATCCGTGGTGGGTCATGGGTTAAAGGGAGACTATAGTCACTCAGACCACTTCATCCCGCTTAACCCTAAAATGTAAAACATTGCAGTCATACTGACAGTCACTAGATGGGGTTCACAGTCCAAGCCAAACTTGGTCACGTGATGCGGCTGCCCGATAAGAAAGCATTGACTCCATGCTTTCCTACAGATAATTTTGAGAGGGAGTAATTGGATGAATAACTTTTATAACTTCACAGTTGGGGGGGGGAGTAACTACCTATCATTTCACAGCCTGATCTTGACGTGCATCACACAGATTCCCCATCACCAAGCTCTTCGAAAATCCCTGTGATATTTTTTATATGGTTCAGTAGTGTGCCCATTTTTTATGTCACAGAGATTTACTTACATTGGTCCTGCAGGGAATGAATGATCAGAATGCAATAACAAATATTGACCCCACTACTTGTCAAATACTTCTCCTACTGGATATTATGCAGTCCCACATTCCACTAATAGCACACTGCCTCCTTCATGACTCACCAGTCGTGTAGGCAATGGGAGCTGGATGTCACGAAGCAGTGTCATTGTCTGCATTAAGTTATCTTTTACAAACTGTCGGAGGGATGTGCAGTCAGCGCCAGTCAGCAAATTACCCAGGGACCTGGAAAGTAACATAGTGAAAGATGGGATGGCTGGGGACTGGGATGCTGTCATGCAGGATAAAATTTAGGGAGAAAGAAGAATGGTACACAAAAATATGAGGTGGTCTATACATTGAGAGAGGATTAAAGGTTGATCATGGCAAAGGCTCAACAAAGAAATTGATTCAGATTGACAGAAGAAATTACAAGAGTAAATTTTATTTACTTTGATCATACCAAAACTGAGTTATTAGTGTTTCTGGTTAAGGGGGTTGGAAACCTTATGACACTCGGCATGTGGGGGTAAGTTGGACATTATTAGTGCCAGGAGTGTTGTCATCCCCTAAAATTGCACTTTGAATAGCTGGGGTTTAACAGTTTGTAGTATCTACCCGGCATTTGAATAATTTTTTTTTTTTATAATTCTTTATTTTTGCGTGCACAAGAGTTAGACATGTTGCATCGTATGCATCGTTTGAGTAGGTAACAGGTTTCAACATTTGTTAGATAATGCATTTGGTCAATTTTAGCACAATTTTTCATTAAGTTTAACATGCGTAACATCCTAGGTAGAGGTTGGGTCGTATAGGGGTTTAGTCGTGTTACTCGTCTGCGGGTGCAGTACCTAGGTCATGGGTTGGTGTCGAAGGCGTGACCCTAATGGTGTTAGGAAGTATGTGTGGAGATGCGGAGTGGAGCTAGGGTCCGTGTGGGTGCAGTAGGTGTAGTTTCGTCGGTCAAGTAGTCTGGTGAGTGGTACACGTGTTCTGAAGTGGATTGGTCGTCTAGTTCCGCTGGGGACCACTCATGAGGGGTGGTAGCCCTAACCTAGGGGCTGTCGGGGGGGTAGGTTTTGGCTTATGCTATAGTTTATGGTCTGGTAATGCGGCAGCGCGCAAGCGTCCTCGTCAGCTAAGTCATCTAGCTAGCGGTAAATAGGTAAGAACTTCAACATCAGAAATGTATTGCGCGGAGGGTGGGGGGAATACAGGTTGTGGTAAACAAGACATATGGATATCGCCGTTGAGCGGGCAGGGTTAAGAGATCTCTCTCCCCCTGTCCGTCAGGTGGCTTGCGTGTCCATTCTCTGTCTTCTCGGCACAAACGTATCCGAGGTATCTGGATTCCAGACGTGGGGAGTGCCCAGGTTGGGCAAGTTTTGCAGGCCCAATTTTGTGAGTAGTGTAGGGGCCTCAGTCCCTGAGGTGATTTTATGGGTGGTTCCCTGGTGGGTGATGAGCAGAGAGCGGGGGTTCCCCCATCTATATGGTATCCCCGCTGTACGCAGATGGCCGGTGAGTTCCGTAAGTGACTTTCTCCACTGGAGGGTGGCCTTGGATAAGTCCTGATAAAAGGTCAGTTGGGTTTCCTCGAATTCAAGCGGGGTCTTACCCCTGATTGCGCTCATGATGTGCCCCTTGTCTTGCGGTAGGGCGCAACGGACAATGACATCTCCGGCTAGCGTTGCGGTGGCTCTGGGGGGCGTGGGTAGGCGGTAAATCCCTGCAAAGGCGAGTTTCTTTGTTACTGCGGGAGGGAGTAGTGATTGTGTGAGTCGCCTCACGTAATGCGGTAGGTCCTCTTTGCTCACCGATGCCGGGATGCCTCTGATTTTGATGTGTTGCGCCGGTTTTTGTCCTCCTGCGTCGCCAGTTGTATTGCTAAGCGTTGCTGGTCTTGTTGTAGTTGGTGGAGCGAATCTTGTAGCGTAGAGACTTCTCCCTGTATTGTTTTGACTTGGTTTTCAGTAGTGGTCACTTTTTCTGTGATCTGTTGCATGCTCGTTTTGAGCGCTGGTAGGTCTGCTGCCAGCAGGTGTTGTATATCCTGCAGCATAGTTTGCAACTGTTGCAGGTCCTGCTTTGTGGCTGGGTCTGCTGATCCCTGTGGGGGTATGGGTTTGGTGGTTGTGGTCTGTGTGAGCTGTGGAGATCTCTGTGTGTCCCCCTGAGTGGTTTGTGCAGGTGGGGTGTCTGCCTGTGGGGGGTCTGGGCCCTGGTTGGGTGCCATTTTGGCTGGGGTTTGTTTCTGCAGCAGTGCCCCTATATCAGGCTGTGCTGTGGCAGTACCTTGGTGTGGTTTTTGTGATCTGCGCCCCATCTCCTCGTGGGATTGGTCAGGGTCCTGTAGATGGACTTCGCTTGGGTCTCCCAGGCTCTCTCCGCCCCACGAGTACTCCAGGCCGCGGCTGTTTGGTGTGTAGTAGGCCCGGATTTTCGTTTTGGGCTTTGCCTGCCTCGAATTGTACCGGAATGGCATCGGGCGGTGCAGGATGGACTCCCTCGGGCAATGCTGGTAATTGTTTGCGTGGATGGCATGTACTTTTGGTGATGTTGACGGATTCAGTTTCAGTTTGCTCAGAGCTGTCAGAAATGGCGTCCGGCTCGTTCCGCCGCTAAGCCCCGCCCCCGCATTTGAATAATTTAAGGGCCATTGCTTGGAAACCCACCCACCAATGTATGTATGGCTCCACCCTCTCAAAATGAACACAGTGATCTCTGCATGACTCTGTTCCTTCAGATTGAACACTGCGATCTGTGTATGGCCCCACCCCCTCAGAATGAACACAACGATCTCTGCATGGCCCCGCCCACTCAGAATGAACACTGCGATCTGTGCATGGCCCCACCCACTCAGAATGAACACTGCGATCTGTGCATGGCCCCACCCCCTCAGAATGAACACAACGATCTCTGCATGGCCCCGCCCACTCAGAATGAACACTGCTATCTGTGCATTGCCCCACCCACTCAGAATGAACACTGCGATCTGTGCATGGCCCCACCCAGAATTAACACAGCGATCTGTGCCTGGCCCCACCCACACAGAAAGAACACAGCGATCTGTGCATGGCCCACCGACTCAGAAAGAACACAGCGATCTGTGCATGGCCACACCCACTCAGAAAGAACACAGCGATCTGTGCATGGCCCCACCCACTCAGAATAAACACAGCGATCTGTGCATGGCCCCACCCCCTCAGACTGAACACAGCGATCTGTGCACAGCCCCGCCCCCTCAGACTAAACACAGCGATCTGTGCATGTCCGGTGCCCTCAGACTGAACACAACGATCTGTGCATGGCCCCCTCAGACTTTACATAGTGAACTCCTGGAGGGAGAGGGGAGAGGACTGGGGTCACTAGATGGAAACTCCAACACGCAGAGAGTGGAAAAAGGGACCATAAATCATACCTCCCTGGTTATATGAGGGGTTTCTTAATTAAACCACCTGCTCTTATTATTCCTCTATTCCACAATCATTATTAACCCCACTGGTCATGTGGTGAAAGACAGCAGAGACTTAACATTATCCAATCCCTCGCTAGGACGTAATCATGGAAAGTCCTGCTATTTTTTTTGTTACAATATGAATGTTTATTCTTCCTCATCACGACACCACAAATAAAAATTCTTAAGGAGTTTTTGAATAGTGGTCACAAGCAACTACTTAAATGGTAGCAGTATCTATGGATTTTTGGGCTAGCATGAAGGTGAGTATGCAGGATGAGATGGAGGAGTGCAAGAAGAGAAATTAAAAGAGTATAGATCTTCAGATGGAGTAAGGCTGAAATATTTTGACTCTTGTTAAAGAAAATGGGGTGATATTGGTGAAATGAATGAGGTTAAACGCTGAAGTACCACAAAAATATATAAATATATGAGCACATACTCACGTGATTCCACTTTGTAGAGAACGCACTTTTGCAGCCTCTCGGAACAGGAACTGTGCCTTTAAAATGCAACATGATAAAGTGAACATTATGCTCCTGACTAGAACATATGGTGATTATTTTCTAATCAAGCAGTGACCCTTCTTCTGTCAGGCAGTGGTGGAGAACAAAACTGGGGAATGTTGGACCATGAGAGAATTACTTTAGGCAGTGTGTCCAATACTTGACACATTATTCAAATTTCACCAGTACTTCTAATGATAGACTGGTAGTTGCTGGCATGTGAACAGATAAGGGATATAGGTGTTAATTGAATTTCATGCTTTACCTGTTGTAGGTTCCATTTTGCATGAGATATATTTCTCAGGTCAGACAGAATTTCTTGTTTTCTTTTGCGCAGCTGGATGAGCGGTAATGAGTATAACAAGGGCCCCATTTCCTCCAGTCTGTTTGTAATATTCACCACAGTCTACAAATATAGAATTATCAGCAGGAACATTTTCTCTATTGTTTATCTATTGACTATCTAAGGTTATCAAAATTTGTGGCTCCTTGTGTTACAGTTACTTCACAAAAAATGTGCAACTGGCTCTGTTTTGTGTAATAATATCAACAATAATCTTAACAATTTTCTGTTAGTATTATCAGCAATAGAAAGTAAGTCCCCCACCACTCATACCTTGGTCCCAACCAAGCATTACATCCCACCATTTGTGGAGAGGTGTAGAGAAGAGCTGGTACTTGGTCAAGTGAGCGGTTTAGCAGCCTTCAGTGGCACCTCCCTTATTTTATAGGAAATGGAAGTGGACATTTCTGATTAATCCAGTATGGAGTTTCTATTATTTTCCCCAACACAACATCACTGTTATTTGGGAATACCAGATGTGCCCCTCTTATTTTATTTTTTTAATGCAATGACAGACTCACATATGGATATAGACAACTAGACATGCCATTATGAGCATCAGAGACGTGTCAGAAACAAGGATTATCAGAGCCGGCGTAACCGTTAGGCGAACTAGGCATTCGCCTAGGACGCCAGCCTGCTGGGACCGCCTACCAGGATGTTTCCTGGTGGGCTGCCTGCACCTGTCTGGGGCCGCAGCGCTGGGCGAGCGGCTTTTGAGCCACCCCCAACGACGGGACGATTCTCAAAGCGCCCGAAGGTGGGGGCGCCGAGAAGAGCCCTGTCACAGAAGGGTCAGGAGGTGGCCATCTGGCCACCCCAGGAAACCCCCGATGCAGTGGTAGGTAAGGCAGAGCAGACACTTGCTTACCTGGATGGCAGGTGCTTGCTCTGCCAACAAATCTTTTCTTCTTGCATCCTCTCACTCCTCCCTCACGCGCCCTCTGTGATGCATACTAAACAGAGCTCTGGAGGAGTGAGGAGCTGCCCCACACTGGACAAAAGGAAGGTAGGGAGGCTGGATGGGCCTCAAAAATTTAATTGTGTATGTGTGTCAGTGAGTGTGTGAATGTTTAACGGTCAGTGTGTGTCAGTGAATGAGTGTATGTATGTCAGTGAGTGTCTGTGTGTGTCTGTCTGTCAGTGAGTGTGTGTGTTTGTCTGTGTGTGAGTGTATGTATGTCAGTGTCTGTCTGTGTGTGTATGTCAGTGAGTGTCTTCCTGTGTGTGTGTGTGTGTGTTTGTCTGTCAGTGTGTGTGTGTCTGTCAGTGAGTGTCTGCATGTGTGTGTGTGTGTGTATGTGTGTGTCAGTGAGTGTCTGTGTGTGTGCGTCTGTATGTCAGTGAGTGCGTGTGTGTCAGTGAATGAGTGTATGTATGTCAGTGAGTGTCTGTGTGTGTGTGTGTCTGTCAGAGAGTGTATGTCAGTGAGTGTCTGTCTGTGTGTGTGTGTCTGTCTGTCTGTGAGTGCATGTATGTCAGTGTCTGTCTGTTTGTGTGTGTATGTCAGTGAGTGTCTGCCTATGTGTGTGTGTGTGTTTGTCTGTCAGTGAGTGTGTGAGTGTTTGACTGTCAGTGTGTGTGTGTGTCTATCAGTGAGTGTCTGCCTGTGTGTGTGTGTCAGTGAGTGTCTCTGTGTGTGTGCATCTGTCTGTCAGTGAGTGAGTGTATGTCTGTCAGTAAGTGTCAGTGTGTGTGTGTGTGTGTCTGTCTGTCTGTCAGTGAATGAGTGTATGTTTGTTAGTGAGTTTCAGTGTGTGTGTGTCTCAGTTATTGTATGTATGTTATTAAGTGTCTGTCTGTTTGTGTATATCAGTGAGTGAGTGTATTTCTGTCAGTGAGTGTCTGTGTGTGTGCATGTGTGTCTGTCAGTGAGTGAGTGTATGTCTGTCAGTGAGTGTCTGTGTCTGTGTGTGTTTGTCTGTCAGTGAGTGAGTGTATGTCTGTCAGTAAGTGTGTGTGTGTGTGTGTGTGAGTGTGTGTGTCTGTCAGTGAGTGAGTGTATGTGTGTATATCTGTCAGTAAGTGTCTGTGTATGTGTGTGAGTGAGTGTGTGTCAGTGAGTGAGTGTATGTATGTCAGTGAGTGTGTGTGTGTGTCTGTCTGTCTGTTTGTGAGTGAGTTTATGCATGTCAGTGAGTGTCTATCTGTCTGTGTGTGTATGTCAGTAATTGAGTGTATGTATGTGAGTGAGTGTCTGTCTGTGTGTGTCTGTGTTTGTCTGTCAGTGAGTGTGTTAGTGTTTGACTGTCAGTGTGTGTATGTGTGTGTCTGTCAGTGAGTGTCTGCCTGTGTGTGTGTGTGTGTGTCCGTCAGTGAGTGTCTGTGTGTGTGTGTCTGTCTGTGAGTGTCTGCCTGTGTGTTTTTGTGTTTGTCTATCAGTGAGTGTGTGAGTGTTTGACTGTTAGTGTGTGTGTGCGTCTGTCAGTGAGTGTCTGCCTGTGTGTGTGTGTGTGCGTCTGTCTGTCTGTCAGTGAGTGTGTGTGCGTCTGTCTGTCTGTCAGTGAGTGTATGTCTGTCAGTTAGTGTAAGTGTGTGTGTGTATGTCTGTCTGTCAGTGAGTGGGTGTATGTCTGTTAGTGAGTTTCTGTGTGTGTGTGTCTCAGTTATTGTATGTATGTTAGTGAGTGTCTGTCTGTTTGTGTATATCAGTGAGTGAGTGTATGTCTATCAGTGAGTGCCTGTGTGTGTGTGTGCATGTGTGTCTGTCAGTGAGTGAGTGTATGTCTGTCAGTGAGTGTCTGTGTGTGTGTGTGTGTGTGTCTGTCAGTGAGTGTGTGTTTGTCTGTCAGTGAGTGAGTGTATGTCTGTCAGTAAGTGTCTGTGTATGTGTGTGTGTGTCTGTCTGTCTGTCTGTCAGTGAGTGAGTGTATGTTTGTTAGTGAGTTTCTGTGTGTGTGTGTGTGTGTGTGTGTGAGTGTATGTGTGTCAGTGAGAGTGTGTCTGTGTGTTTGTCAGTGAGTGTGTGTGTCTGCCAGTGTGTGTCTGTCAGTGAGTTAGTGACATGAGGGGCAGCAAAATGGATCTTTGCCTAGGGCGGCACCAGCCCTGCAAGGATGACACATGTCAAGAGAGCTGCACAAGTTTTAAATTATGTAGTGCTTATCAGTAACTTTGCTTAGTAAGTAATACATATGTATGCCATTGAAGGGAACATATGAACATATGAGACTAGTGTAAGACAATAAAACAGAGAATAAACAAAACTAATACGATCTAGTACACTCAGCTTAAAACAAAAACATAGGAGGCATGTCATAGCACCCTCAGTCTCAGCATATATACGTAAAGGCGGTGATAGACACAAGAACAGACGTTTTTCATCCCCACACCAACCTCTGGGAAAATATAGCAGCCCTGTCAAACTCTTCAAAGGCATAGACGGCAGACGTTATCTACACCACCAGCCCAAGGACCATATACAAGATGACAATATTGGACCACGGATCTGACTTGAGTGTCCTAGTTGGTAGAGGCCCATGTATTTCTGTGTGATGGAACTGATGGCAACAGCAGCCACGCATTACCCCATTGTTGGGCAATGTCGAGGAAGTCTCCCTCCAGAGACTCGAAGCCCAGCTAAGTCTTATCTAAGACTTGACAGCTTGTGTGGTTGAGAAGATGTGGGTTTCTGAATACTTCCAGCCCTATTAGAAGTCAACTTTGTGGTGTGTTAGTGCTGGTTCAGCCTTGCCCAAAAGTCGCAAAGAGCCTCAAAAGCTTGAGTAAATGAGTCATCCCATGAAGACTGCCAAATGAGAAGATGTATAGGTTTGGCAGCTGCCATTTTATATGCCTTTAACATTTGTGTACATAAAATTAGCAAAGTCTCTTCATCCATATGAGCTGAAATCCCCTCCAGCGGGTACCGGGATGACCCCTACTAGTCCAAAAAGGGATGGGGGTACAGGGTCAGCTGTAACACCAAAGCTATGCAGGAGTAGGGAATCGGCCACGTTCCCCACTTCAAGTAGGTCAATAGGCCAACGTTGAGGCTATCTAGGGGAACACCAAATAAACCGATCACCGGTGCGAGTTATACTAATCAGAGTCTCTCTTTAAACCCTTGGTAAGAAAACAGTCGCTTAAAATAGCCATATTACTGTAATTATATGCTCCCTTTAGAGTTGTAACTGAGGAGCCCATGCAGCCCATCCTTGCTTGCTCAGCAGTCAGGCCCTGCCCCAGCTTAAGATATAACCCCTGTATGTGTTCTTTCCTAATATGTTTTCTCTCTTTAGGTTAGAGGAGAATTACATGTGTTTTTGCAGAACTATTATTTTCTGCCACAGATGTCTCTTTGCTCCCTCTTTACTAAAGACTGCAAGTGATGTGGGATATGGATGTGATCAGTATATTGGAGATTAGACTTGTTACATGATGTAAAAATTCAGTGTTCAAATTACTTCAACGGAAAATAAGATTTAGTTCGGGTCTTTGGATAGTTGTCCATATGACGGGTCAGCTCGTCCAAATATTGCACAAAAATTGGCAATCAGTGTAGCCCAAAATATAAATAATATAAATATTATGCATTTATTTTGCAGTGCACTGATTAAGTAAGGAAAAAATAGAGGGAAAAGAAGAAGGAACAGTAAAAATATTTACATATTTATAGATAAGACATTTTTTTAAATATAGATTTTTTTGTTTTACTGATTCTCTTTTCCCCCCTCTATTGGTGATTTCTCATTTGATCTGTGAATAAAATCTAAATTTCGTGTCTGCCCCTAACCATCAATCATTTTTCCCCCCATCAATTGTTTCTTTTTCTAGAGCAATGGAGAGAACTCCGAACCAAAAATCAAATGAGCATAATTGTCCATTGCATGAGTCGTTCGGTTACACACGGCACTTCAGAGTTTACAGAATAAGGACAACGCACCATTCGACCTAAATCTAGACGAACTGTAATTCGCCTGAAAATGAATGCATAAGTCTAATGGAGATGTATTAAATAAATTCATAAAGCACACATATAAACATACCCACAGGTTCCGAAAAACAGCCAGGATTTGTGCACCACTTAGTGATTCTGCATGATCGGATAAGGCTGGTAAAAGATCTAAAAGCCGATTGGTTGGTAACTGCTGAAGAGAAATAGGACTCAACCCCAACACGAGGGAACCCATGCTTGACCATGCTGCATTCGGGACCTGTAGAAATGAGATACATACTGTGGACATGTTTATTATGTTATTTTTTTACAATTTATTCAAATATTAGATTCTGCAGAACTGCGCATGTGACATTTTCATGGCACTTTGCAGCAGACAGAAACAGGTTATATGGAGACATCCTGCCATGTGCCGTAGCCAGTCTTGCCTTCTGTCATGTGTATTACCTGGTCTTTGTTACTGCCATATTCATTTAGTAAGCCTGTGTACTTGCTAAATGTTTTATCAGAAACTATGAGGTAAAAATCCCCCACATTTGTAATGCATTATATAGCTAAACCATTACTATACAATACAAAAGAAATTATATAAAACATTTCCTTGGTTAGCACTGTTATTATTATTGGCCCCCTATAGCTGGCTGTGGATCTGCCAGCAGGGGGACTGTCTGAGCTGTCAGACAGTCCCCCTGCTGGTGGGAAGTATGAAAAACAAATGATTGAACATGTTTAAAATAAATTAAAAGTATTTATATATATATATGTAACGTCATATGTAGTGTATTTTAATGTTAATATAAGTACATATATTAGTGTTAGAATACACTTAGAATGATGTTACATATATATAAGATATATATTATATATATATAATACATCTATATATATTTTATATTTATATATACAAGTATAATTACAATTTTAAATAAATATAATAATAAAATAAATAAATAAAATATTTTTAAAAAAATTAAATAAATTATATATACATATGTAATCTCATTCTAACTGTATTTTGTTATTAAAATATATATATATTAGTCACAAAATACACTTAGAATGACATTCTATATATATATCTATCTATATATAAAATACAAATAACTGCAAATATTTATATATAGATAAATATATATAATTACATAAATAACTACATAAGTGTACACGTAGAATTTAAATACATATATATGTATATATATTAAAATTCTACGTGTATATTTAAGTAATCTTTTAACATAATTATGTGATTTGATTAATTAGAATTTGATTGACGTGCCTGACAACTCAGGCAGAAAGTGCAGAGAATGTAATTCACAAGCACTATATTTAACCCTGTATCTTTCCAAGACACCATAAAACCTGTGCATGTGGGGTACTGTTTTACTCGGGAGACTTTGCTGAACACAGGTATTAGTGTTTCAAAATGGTAACTTGTATTACAACGATGATATTTTTAGTAAAAGTGAAGTTTTTTGCATTTTTCACACATGAACAACACTATTACTGACGATATTATTGTTGTAATATGTTTTACTGTTTTGAAACACTTATGTTTCTGTTCAGTGAAGTCTCCCAAGTATAAGAGTACCCCCTATGTACAGGTTTTATGGTGTTTTGGAAAGTTAGAGAGTCAACTCTAACTCTAGTCCCACTCTCCACTGGACCACCAGAATCAGCAGCAACAAGGATCCCCCCTCCCTACAAAAGGTAAGAAGGGAGGGGGGATAGCAATTGCTATTCTGATCTCTTGTGTGGGTTTTGGCTATATAATTGTGCCATAAGGTGTATGAGTCCGCACGTATACGGCTCTTTTGACCCTGTGGTCCTGTGAATTTTTCATAGGCCACGTTTGTGGATACAAGGTTCAATATTTCCAGTTTTGTGGGAACTGTTGTCGATCTCCAATTCCTTGCTATGATAGTCATTGTTGCCATGATTGTAAGATATATTGTTTTGCGTATGTGTTTCGGGAAGTGTTTTGGGAATATGTGCAGAAGGTACATTTCTATAGAAGGTGTAACAACCATTCCTGTGCTTTGCTTTATCCCCACCTCCACCCCCACAATCACCCACACAACCATTCCTGTGCTTTGCTGTATCCCCACCTCCACCCCCACAATCACCCACACACATACAGCACACACACACATACACAGCACCAACACACACACACACACATACAGCACACAGCACCCCCACACACACACAGCACCCACAGACATACAGCACCCACAGACATACACAGCACCTACAGACATACAGCACCCACAGACACACAGCACCCACAGACACACACAGCACCCACAGACATACAGCACCCACACACATACAGCACCCACACACATGCACAGCACCTACACACACAGCACCCACAGACATACAGCACCCACACACATACACAGCACCAACACACATACACCACCCACACACATACACAACACCAACACACATACAGCACCCACAGACATACACAGCGCCAACACACATACAGCACCCTCACATACAGCACCCTCACACACAGCACACAAACAGCACCCTCACACACACACAGCACACTAACAGTACCCTCACAAACAGGACCCTAACAAACACACACACAGCACACTACCAGTACCCTCACACACAAACAGCACCCTCACACACAGTACATTAACAGCACCCTCACAAGCGCACACACACACAAACAGCACCCTCACAAGCGCACACACACACATACACACACAAACAGCACCCTCACACACAGTACATTAACAGCACCCTCACAAGCACGCACACACAAGCACCCTCACCCACATAGCACACTACCAGCACCATCACACACACATCACACTAACAGCACCCTCACACAGCACACACACACACCAGTGTGTGTATGTGTGTATGTATGTTTATGTGTATATATATATATGTATATATATATATATATATACACACACATATTATATACATACATACATATATATATATGCGGCGGGTGCACACCCTAATGCAATAGGCTGCGCACGCCTATGGGCCAAATATTTGTTTTTTGCTTTTTTCACACAAAAACAAATATGAACGCTAACTTTGGCCAGTGTTTGTGACTAAGTGGCTACTAAAAAAGACTGAACATACCCCACTTGCAATACCTTGGATTGTCTACTTTTGCAAATGGTATGCCATCATGGGGTAATTCTCATTCCCGGGCTACCACACGGTGTCAAAGGTAACATTACTAATCTGGCAAATTTCAATTTGAAAAAACGGAATGTGCTATATTTGACCCTGTAACTTTCCAAAACACTGTAAAAACTGTTAATGGGGGGTACTGTTGTACTCGTGAGACTTTGCTGAATCCAAATATGTGTTGTTTTTTTCTGCAGTTAAAGCTAACAGTATTATGACATTTACAGCTAAAATGTTTACAATTTTTTTTTAAATCTTAATTTCTCACAGTTTTTTTTTTTATAAATAACAGTTTTTATTTTCTGTTTGCAGCAAAAGAATTATTTCAAGGGATACAGAATGAAGAAAAAGTGGGGGGGACATGAATAACATTGCATTTTTTTTTTTTTTTTTTACATACCGACTTGCCTGCAATTTTCACATCTTAACCATTTGACTATGTTTTCAGTATTTTCAGTATCTTCTTAGGTCTAATCTTAGGCGCCTCGGCACGTTATATCTATATATCCCCTGAAGTAGGTTTGTATGTATGGTATATACAAATAGTAAAACAATGAAAACTATTTACATGTGTTATTTACATCCTATGGTTCCTAAGTCTGTGTGTCCAGGTCTCTAGTGGTGTATGCTCTATGGGGCCTTGTCCCTTGGGCCATTTACGGCCTTCTTTGTCTCTCTGTTTGGGGTCTTGTCTTGGTCGTCCGTTTGCCCCATGTCTGTGCCACTTTCTTCTGGATTTTGTGTGTTTCCCTGCCATTAAGGGCGGTCATGGTTGCTATTCTGATCTCTTGTGTGGGTTTTGGCTATATAATTGTGCCATAAGGTGTATGAGTCCGCACGTATACGGCTCTTTTGACCCTGTGGTCCTGTGAATTTTTCATAGGCCACGTTTGTGGATACAAGGTTCAATATTTCCAGTTTTGTGGGAACTGTTGTCGATCTCCAATTCCTTGCTATGATTGTCATTGTTGCCATGATTGTAAGATATATTGTTTTGCGTATGTGTTTCGGGAAGTGTTTTGGGAATATGTGCAGAAGGTACATTTCTATAGAAGGTGTAACAACCATTCCTGTGCTTTGCTTTATAATGTCTCCCACCAACTCCCATACCGGCTGTATCTGCGGGCAGCTCCACCATTTGTGCAGCATATCCCCTTTTGGTCCCTTGCACCTCCAACATATGTTTTCTATGTTATTATACATTCTTGCGAGTCTATCTGGCGTGAGGTACCATCGGTATAATACCTTTCTAGCGGTTTCTTGGTGGGATGCACACCTGGTTGTTCCCTTATGGGCTGTGAATGCCGAACTCCATTCTTGAGGTGTGAGGTCCCTTCCTATATCTCTATTCCACTCTTTCTGAAATCTCCAGAGCTGCGCTTGTGGTTCTCTTATCAGTAGGTTATAGCATATAGATAGAGTTTTACTCAATTGTCTTGTGTCTAGGCATTTAGTTTCAAAGTGGGTCAGTCTCGTCTCACCGTTTCCCTTCTGTGTGTATGTGCCCTCTGGTCGCAGAGTGTGGTATAGTTGTATATAGGAGAATTGGGCCTTGTTTGGTACCTGGAATTGTGTTTTTAAGTCTTGGAAGCTCTTAATGGAGCCTTTGTGGGTCACTTGGTGTAGATGGGTTATGTTGTGTTCTGCCCATAATTTATAGTTAAAGGAGGGATTCAGAGTGTGTAGCGTTTTCAAGGGGGTTGCCGGGGACCACTTTTGTTTTGAGCATATCCTGTGCCTATTTTTATCCCATACGGATAGCATTATCTTGGTGGTCGGCAACATCTTGAGGGTACGGGGTCTCATGTCTCTAGGTGCCCATAAGAGATGAGTTAGATGAGTCTGCTGGATTCCAGTGCTAGCCACTGAGGGGGTTTTTGCCGTTTGGTGGCATCCAAAGACATTAGCTAGGTGCGTAGCTCTGTGATATTCTTTCATATCGGGGAACCCCAAGCCTCTGTCCTCTACTGTTCTAGATAGGAGTTTCCAGGTCACCCTGGGTTTTTTGTTTAGCCAACCAAATTTGAGTAATGTTGTCTGCAGTGTTTTGAGGTATCTAGTGGGGATCTG